TAATGAAATGGACTGAAGCAGTGAGTCCCCTGGGATGGAAATGTAAAGTTAAGATCTCAGCATTCCTCTGAATGGAGCCCTGGAAACCACAGGCTGGATAAAGACAATCGCTCAGAAGAGGTCACTGACTGAGTTACAGGGCAGAATTCTGGCCTTGGAATTCAGTGGAATTATACTGAAATGTGCTCAAAGAACAGCACCTTATTACTCAGTGTGAGCTAGAAAATTCAGGTTACATTATCCAACAGCTTGACAGGCGAAAGGGATATATATATGGAAATGAATAATACTTCCTCATGATCTCCAGTTAGTTAGAACACACAGATGTGAAGAGAATAAGAAAGATTTCCAGATAAGTGTACAATTAGTTTTAACAGGTAAAGAACTAGGAAGGCTCACATGATTGAAACTACTATCTTCCTAGAACTCCAATCATAAGCGTGTGTACCAAAACTTTGGCTGCACATTAAACATCAAAAGTGAAAGACTTCACAGAATTCCCAGAACTTAGGATCTTGGGGAGACAGAAAAATGAATAAAAGGACGCTTAAGAGTTTCAAATTCAATTTCTTCCAAAATATTTTAATAATTGCAAAATAAAAATGAGTCTCATTGTTGGAGTGGGGTCACCACCTACTGGTCATAGAGGAAAGTACAAATATTATAACAAATTTTCTTGGTTCATGCCACAATGGTATCCAGATCAAAGCAAGAGATAGTAACATGGAATAAGATAGGGAGTCCAGGAGTGACGCTATAGGATAAGCACTGGACTGCAAGGCCAGTGGGAACCATAAGTTTGTTGGTTCAAATTCACCAGCTGCTCCTTGGAAACCCTATACAGGGTCGCTGAGTTGGAACCGACTCAATAGCACTTAACAACAGAAAAAGATAGAGGAGTCCTAGTGTGGTTCTGTAGGATAAACACTGGACTGCAAGGTTAGTTTGAACCACGAAGTTGATGGTTCAAACCCACTAGCTGCTCCTAGGAAACCCTCTACAGGGTCGCTATGAGTCGGAACTGACTCCACAGCACTCAACAAGAAGAAAGAGTTCTGGGTGGTACAAACAACACACTTGGCTGCTAAACAGAAGGCTGTGATTCAAGTCCACCCAGAGATGCAGCTGACTCAATGGACACTGGGGGTTAGACCTTAGAAAGCTAAGATGAAATATTAATAACCACTAAACACTTGTGGTGGACTTCTGGTGTGGCACTGTAGGATTGGCACTGGACTGTGAACCACACAAGGTTGGCAGTTCAAACCCACCAGCTGCTCCTCGGAAACCCTACACAGGGTTGCTATGAGTCAGAATCGACTCGAAGGTACTTAATAACAACAAACACTTGTGACTTGTAAAACTGAAGTCCTAAAGTCTCTTCACGGCCATAAGTAGTTTACTGAAGAAAATTAGTAGAGACTTATGATATTAATCAGTGTCTTCAATTTACCACAACTCACAATGACTTATCTGCCAAGAAAGCTCTACTTGGATAAATGTCTAGTACGTTGAAGCTGTTTCACATCTGAACAGATCAACCTGAGAAGCAGGACAAGAGAACCGGGAAAGCACTAGAGTTGACATCAGCAGCTTTAATGCCTTTGTCGTTTACAAACATTTGTAAACCTTTTGATTGATCCGGACGTTACTTTTCACAGCCTTAATGTGGAATACTACCACCCCTAGCTTCCAGAGATGACGAGAATCAGTCAAAAGATACACATGTACAAATGTAGTAAAAGCCTCCTGAGTTAATAAATTCACTGCTTCTACTGTGGCATAAAGAGCTCTAGTAGCATAGTGGTTATGAATCTGGCTGTGAACCGCAAGGTCAGCAGCTAGAAACTACCAGCCACTCCGTGGTAGAAAGATGAGGCTTTCTGTTCCCATAAAGATTTACAGCCTCGGAAACGCTGTACACGGTCGCTATGAGTCGGAACCGACTCCACAACATACAACAACAAAACTGAGGCATAGTATGATTGTTGGCCCCTAATAATAATCTACTTAGGACACAGAGGACTGGTAAAACTCAACTTTATTAAGATTCAAACAGAGAAGTTACTTCTGTACGTTACACACATGAAGTTTAACAGCTCTGCTTAGACAACTCTGCAGGATTTATGCTAATGGTACCCTGCTGCATAGCCGTGGTGAGGTTACTTCCTTGCGCTCTAGAGCTCTGCTATGTAGGTGATATGATAGTTATTTCATACGTCTATGCAGATCTCATACTCTAGATGCCATATTTCTACTCAGATATTTAAGAGGAGCTCTGGTAGCGTAGTGGTTACGAATCGGGCTGCAAACCTTAAGGTCAGCGGTTCGAAACTACCAGCTGCTCCACGGGAGAAAGATGAGGCTTTCTACTCCCTTAAAGATTTACATCCTCGGAAACCCTGTACAGGGTCGCTATGGGTCGGAACCGACTCGATGGCACTTAACAACTCTGTAGGAAACAAAACTGCTGGACTAGCAAATTGAAAACTACAGACCAAGCCCAGGAAATCTTTAAATCCTCAGCACCTCAGAAGTGACTCCAAGTATTCTTCGGATTTCAGGCAGAGATGTTTCCCCTGCCATGGTGGTGGTGGTGTTGCTTAGGGCTGTCAAATTGGCTCCAACTCATAGCATCCCTGTGTAGAGTTTCTACTGAGTGCATGGTGGGTTTCAATCGCCAATCTTGCAGTTACCAGTCTGGTGCTTATCCTACAGGTGAGGTGGTTGTTGATGTTAAGTGCCATAAAGTTGGTTCTGACTCATAGTGACCTTGTGCAGGGTTTCTGGGGAGCAGGTTGGTGGGTCTGAATAGCCGATATTGTGGTTGGGAGTCCCGTGCCTATCCTACAGCACCACACCAGGACTCCACAGGTGGTGTTAGGTGCGGTCAATTTGGTTCCTCCTTATAACCACCCTATGTACAGCAAAACAAAACACTGCCCCATCCTGTGCCATCCTCACGGTTCGCGTTGTTTGAGCCCATTCTTATAGCCATTGTGTAAATACATCTCATTGAGGATCTGGTTTTTTTGCTGGCCCTCAAGCTTCTCCAAAGCATAATTTATTTTTCCAGGGACTGGCCCCTTCCATGGTAGGGATGTATACACACACACACACACACACACACACACACACACGTATAAACCATAGTCATCCTGAACAAATTTTGGAGTGAGAGAATATGAAACATCTGGCTGTACATAGCAGTTTATCCCAAGAGAAAACACAAAGCAACATTACTCTGAAGCAAAAACAAGTCCAGTTAGTAGGAAGATAAGCCTAGAAGCAAATTTGTACAAGTGTTTGTAAACAGGGCTTTAGAGAAAAAATTCTGAGGTTTGGAGAGTGTATGTCTTCATTTTTCTCCATGCACAAAACAGGGTACATTTCTTATGCTATGTTAAACAAAACAAAAACCACAAATCTGCCTTCCTTTGTTTTGTATAAAAATTTAAATGGGGAACAGACACACTGAACTAGAATAGAAATGACGTGTTGGGAGAGCCCAAGGTTGCCTGTGTTTCTTGGATGGTTGATTGTGTGCTGACAAGTCAGTTCCAATTCACAGCATTCCTAGACGGGGTTTCCAAGAATGTGCACCTTTATAAGAGAAGAAAGTCTCTTCTTTCTCCTGTGGATTTGGACCTCTCAGTTAGCTGCCCAACTCGTAACCCTCCACGCCAACACAGCTTGGTTACACGTAATCAACATGGCCCAACTCCCTACTGTATACATTTTATTCAAAGATTTGGAAGATTTTTTTGTCTTAAAACAAAAACAGACTGGCAAGTTAACTATTACTAAGGGATATATTAAAGTGTACAAAACAAACAACTAAGAGGAAATAGCTTCTCTGAGCAGTTTCAAGGATCAACCATGCCTTTGATGGTAAGCATTCTTTCTACCTAGCACTACCGATGAAAAAGTTTCAGACAGGAAGACTTAGGCTCCAGTACAAGTGTAGCCATTCACAAACACAAATAAGGAATCACTCAGTTGTAGTTGTGGCCTGCGTCAGGGGTAATATGAGTTCGCCATCTATATACTCCATCATTATGACACACAAAATTGGGCTGTACTGGGAGTTATGGAATTTACTTTTTGGAAACCTATTTTTTCTTTTTAAAGAAAAGTCAGCAGAAGGATGAGGTAACAGGGAAAAGGCTGGTGAATTCTGGGAGTAGAGTAAGTAAAATTATTTGGGGTTAGGCATTCTAGCAATGACCACAAAGAAGGCAGGACACCTTCTCAGTGAAGATGACGGACTATGTGCTAAAGGCAAGTAACATTTAGTATCTGAAAGCCAGTCTGAATTATTTTCAAGGGCAAATTTGATTCTAGTGGGGTTTTCTATGTCAACAGTAGATTCAAATTTAAGAAGGTTCCAGTTCATTTCTAGAAGTATGAATTTTTCTTTTTTGTAAATGAAAGTAGAGGGATCTGAAAGAAACTCACTCAACTATTCCATCTGACACTCCAAAATATGGAGCTCCAGCACTCTTCTTGCAATTACAATTTTTTTATAATTCTTTCCTCCTTCATCTCCCTCATAAACCAGACATTTACTTTAATTGGCCCTCCTCAGACTAACATTCACCTTTCTTCCAATTAATCGTTCTTACCAAGTCTGAAAATCAACAACAATGAAGTCTTTCATTGGCTTTAGATAATTAAAGCCAAGTAAGTAACAAATGCTAGTCTTTCTCTATGGTAACCAAGTCAAAAAATAGTTAAATATGGTGTCAAGTATCCTTACTCTCCATCGTACATCTCTTCTTTGAAAACCAAGTTTGTGTTGATTATATTTCAGTTCTGTCCAGTTCTCCCTGGTGACCCTTTCCCCACTCTGATTGGTTCCATGGCACTGAAAGCTAAGGAGAATAGGGAGTAGGTGGGTCCAGGATGGGACAACGTAGGAGACAGGCTGATTGTTTTACTTTTGGACAAGTAAGAAAAAAGAAAGTGTCTGTGATTGTTCCCTCTGTAAAACTCTCCCTTCAGGTTCGAACTTGGAATTTTCCAGCTTTGGTCATGTATTTTATGCCCTTAAAGGGTTTGTACTTTTCTCCATACATATCCAGACGATTCACCTTGAGTCCTGAAATGAAAGATGAATATGACAGGAACATTATTTAAAGGAAAACTTATAGAATAATTGTTTTGATTCATTTCAATGATAAGAGATCAGTGGGATACAAGTCATTATTAAAATGAACCAGAAACATGTCGTTATTTATTTGTACCATTTATATGAAACAACAACAAACCAGGTTCTTCACTCTTAATACATACACAGATAGTAAAGAATTACTCCAACAAAAAGCTATCCGATTAGAAAACCTGTTCCTGAAGTGGAAAAGGCAGAAAATTATATGCGGACTGAAGTATAGTTAAGAGAAAAATCAGACCACTGTATGTTTTTTCAAGTTACTGGAATGAATAAATTCAGCAATAACAATGACTAAATTATTCATAATAACTTTATGGGTCGAATGTATTGTTGTTGAAAGGTGTTGCTCAGTGAGTTCCGACTCAGAGTGACCATATGCACAACAGAATGAAATACCGCCAGTCCTACGCTGTCCTCAAAATCATTGCTGTGTTTGGCCCATTGTTGCAGCCGCAGTGTCAGTCAGTCTGTTTCGTTGAGGATCTTTCTCTTTTTTTCCTGTCCTTCTCTAAGGCTGATCCCTCCTGATAGCATTCTAAAGCACTGCAGGTGACGTCTTGCCATCCTTGCTTCTGAGGAGCATTCTGACTGTATCTCTTCCAACGAGATTTCTTCACTCTTCTCGCAGTTCATAATATATTCAATGTTCTTCACCAACACCATAACTCAAAGGCATCAGTTCTTCTCTAGTCTTCCTTATTCATTGTCCAGCTTTCGCATGTACATGAGGTGACTGAAAATACCAAAACCTAGGTCAGGTATACCTTAGCCCTCAAAATGACATCCTTGTTTTGAAACATTTAAAAAATTCTTTTGCAGCAGTGCAATACCTCTTTTGATTTCTTAACTGATGCTTCTATGGGTGCTGACTGTGGAGTCAAGAAGAATAAAATCACTGATAACTTCAAAACTTTCTGTGTTTACCATGATGTTGCTTATTGGTCCAACTGTGAGGACTGTGTTGAATTGCATTCCTCAAAAAAAGATATGTTGAAGTCCAAACTCTTGAGACTTGTTAACATGACCTTATTTGGAAACAGGGTCTTTGCAGATATTATCAGTTAAGTTAGTGCATAGGGTAGGTCCCAATCTAACCTGAGCAACATTCTCATAAATAAGAGAAACAAGTGGCACAGAGGGGGTAGGTAACTGTGAAAATCAGCTACAAGCCAAGAAATACCAGGGACTATCAGAAGCTGGGAGAGATGAGAAAAAAATCTGCTGGAAGCTGCAGAGGGAACATACCCCAAACTAACATGTCCATCTGAACTTCTGATCTCCAGAACTATGACACAGCCTATCATTTAAATGAATTCTAGTCACTTAAATTCGACAAAGTATATTGGAAAATATTAGATATGGCATACTGGATTATATGAAGAATATGACATCAGGATTGGAGGAAGACTCATTAACAACTTGCAATATGCAGATGACACAACCTTGCTTGTGGGAAGCGAAGAGGACTTGAGATACTGATGAAGATCAAAGATTGTAGTCTTCAGTTTGAATTGAAGTTCGTAGAGAAAACAAAAATCTTCACAACTGGATCAATAAACAAGAATATGATAAACAGAGAAAATACTGAAGTAGTTAAAAGATTTCATTTTACTTGGATCCACAATCAACACTCACAGAAGCAGCAGTCAAGAAATCAAACATCGTATTACATTAGGCACATCTGCAGCACAAGATCTCTTTAAGGTGTTCAAAAGCAAAGATGTCAATTTGAGGACTAAAGTGCACTGTCAAACGAACAAACAAATCTGTCTTGGAATATGTGCAGTCAGAACGTTCTTCGGAAGCAAAGATGGCGAGACTTCATCTCATGTACTCTGGACATGTTATCAGAAGGGACCAGACCCTGGAAAAGGACCTCATGCTTGGCAAAGTAGAGGGTCAGTGAAGAAAAGGAAGACTCCTAATGAGATGGACTGACACTGCAGCAACCTGTATGATCCCCAAAGTCCCAAAATGATCCAAAAGGCAAATGTGTGAGTTTTCTGTAACTTGAAGAAGGAAGCAAATTATTCTAAGTAACCAAGAACAGAGAAGCAGGCCCATACTGAAAACCTTAGGAACCACAAATCAACAGCCCTAGGATAAACCAAAGGAGCTCTGGTAGCATAGTGGTTACCAGCTGGCTGCTACTCTCAAGGTCATCAGTTCAAAACTACCAGCTGTTCTATGGGACAAAGATGAGGCTTTCTGCTCCCATAAAGATTTACAGCCTCAAAAACCCTATGCAGGGTTGCTATGAGTCAGAACCAATTCCATGGTACACCACCACCATCAGGATGACCCAACAATGGCCTGTAGCACTTTCGTCTACCAATATTACTTCTTTCTCATTTGTGTCCTAGCTACTTTTCATCAGATCACTTAGGCCAACTTTCAAGACAAGGACTGTAAGCTCCCAGAAAAATGCTATGAAAAAGTTTTGATTACAGATAGCATATTAGGTAATGAACTCAAGGTAACGGATATCAGGTCATGTCCTCAATGAGATGAACGGACACGGCAGGTAACATGGCACAGGGCGGGGCAATGTTTTGTTCTGTATACATACGGTCACCATGAATCAGAGTTAACTTTACAACAACTAACAACAATAAAACCAAACTTGAACACATAGGGAAGAAGGCTTTCTCGTGTCTGTGCAGATGGGAGAAAGCCATTACCATCATTATGTCTTCAAACCCACCTGGGCTGTAGATAACTTACCAGAAATGGCCAGCTGCTGGATCTTAAATTGCAGGTTAATTGTGGGATTCTCATCCGGTTTGGAAGCTCCAGCCTGAAGACTCATGGTCCCCTTTAAACTTGGTAGCTTTTGGGGATTTATTTTTCCTACATCCCAAGACAGCATCTTCAAAGAAAACGAAAAAAAAAACAAAAAACAAAAACCAGCCTTTTATTTGACTCCTTCATTTGAGGTGGTTGAGCCCTAGACTCAAGGGCATCTGTCTACAGGGTGATTTTCAATAGAGAAAATTATGTGATACCATGTCATCTCAAAAGAATCAGTAATGAGTCAGCAATGTCTCTTGGATGGAACCCCCAAGTAAGGTACAAAGTCTATGTGGAGAGCTTCAGCAGAACTACTTTACTAAATACCAGCAGTTTAGTAAAAAAAAAAATATATCAGCTTCCTGTTTATTCTCCCTACCTTTGTAACTGGGTCAAATGTGTGCATCCCCTGAGATGGAGTGAGGCTCATATTCAGGACCCCTTTGGGCATCTGGCTGGTGACAATCACTCCTTCTATGGCCTTCCCCATGGTCTGTTTGGGTCCCACTGTTATTTCAAAGCGTCCAAGTGAACTACTGTCCCGGAAATTGATGCTATGTTTGACATATACTGGAATTGCAACCAGACTGGAAGAGAAAGAAACAAAAAGCCCATTTCATTAATGTGTAGGAAAATGGCAATATTTTCCCCTTTCACATCATGCTACCTCCAACAGTTTTTTCTTCCTTATCTACTTTACTCTGTATCTTAACTAAGTAAACAAAACAAAAACCCAGTAATCTTTTTTTTCTTTTTTCAAAGCTAACATGTTGTAGTGAGCACACCAACTCTTTTAATGACTCTGAATGAAATCCACAAAGTCAAAGACTATACTAAACCTACTATAAGCAAGGCACTATGATAAAAAATTATGAGTAACCGCCTCAGTAATCAAAAAGCATTGATACAAAATCACAAAAATCTTTATTCAACAAAAATATCCAAACAAGAAGGTATTGTTTCTTGACATCTCCTCCATCTAGAACTGTATACTTCTGAAGGCGGTGTTTCCATCTTCCTAACCCTTCCCCAAAGATCTCTCCACTCTTCTATAAGGAGAATCGGCATCCACGAGGGACTCAAACTATACTCCTTTGAAATGTTTTTTGAGTTCTGAAAACAAAACCAAGTTTAAAGGCGCAAAGTCAGGATTGATCACTCTAATAAAAAGCTGTGGATCGAGCGATATCATTGCTGATGTCCAATGGATCTTGGCTGAAAGTAGAGAGTATCAGAAAGATGTTTACCTGTGCTTTATTGACTACACAAAGGCTTTCGATTGCGTGGATTATGACAAGCTATGGACAACATTGAGAAGTGTGAGTATTCCAGAACAATTTAGTTGTGCTTCTGAGAAATCTGTACCTGAACCAAGAAGCAGTTGTTCTAACAGAGCATGGGAACACTGAATGTTTTAAAATTGGGAAAGGTGTGTGACAAGGTTGTGTTCTTTCCATACTTACTTAACCTGTATACTGAGCAAATAATACGAGAAGCTGGGTTCTATGAAGAAAAACGTGGTATCAGGATTGGAGGAAGACTCGTTAACAACCTGTGATATGCAGATGATACAACCTTGCTTGTTGAAAGTGAAAAGGACTTGAAACATTTACAGATGAAGATCAAGAGCACAGCCTTCAGTATGGATTGCATCTCAATGTCAAAAAAACAAAAATCCTCACCACTGGACCAATAAACAACATTCTTATCAATGGAAAAAAGATTGAAGTTGTCAAGGACTTCATTCTTCTTGGATCAACTATCAACACTCATGGAAGTTGCAGTCAAGAGATCAGATGACGTATTGCATTGGGCAAATCTGCTGCACAAGACCTTTTTAAAGTGTTGAAGAGCAAAGATGTCAGCTTGAGGACTAAGGTACGCCTGACCCAAGCCATAGTAGTTTTAATAACCTCATATGGATGCGAAAGCTGGACAGTGAATAAGGAAGATCGTAGAAGAATTGATGCCTTTGTATTGTGGTGTTGGAAGAGAATACTAAAAGTGCCATGGACTGCCAAAAGAACCAAGAGATCTGTTTTGGAAAAGGTGCAGCCAGAGTGCTCCTTGGAGGCCAGGATGGCTAAGCTTCGTCTCTCATACTTTGACACATTGCCAGGAGGGTTCAGTCGCTGGAGAAGGATGTCATGCTGGGTAAGGTGGAGGGTCAGAGAAAAAGAGGAAGACCCCTAACGAGATGGATTGGCCAGGTGGCATCATTGATGGTGTCAAGAGTGGCAGTGGTAGTGAGGTTGGCCCAGGATCAGACATTGTTTCGTTCTGCTGTGCATGGGGTCGCTATGAGTCAGTTCTGACTCGATGGCACCTGACAACAACAACAACAATAAGACTAAGACAAGTGTTATCACTGAAAGATGTATAAACATGCTCTGTTTGGAATAAATCCATATGTGCATGAACTGGAACGCCAGTAATAACACTTTTGACTTACTTTCGTATTTCTATGTTGTAATTTATAAATTTGTGACATGTGAATAACAACTACTTGTATTTCAGAGAGTTACAGGAAGCTAAGTCAAAAAAGTATTTCTATTAGGGTTCCAGTTCATACATGTATAGATTTATTCCGAACAAAATGTATCTAGACATGTCTCAGAGGATGGCTATAGACAAGTTCTCTCTGTAATGCACTTGTCTTAGTTTCACTGTTGTTGTTAAGTGCTGTTGAGTCGATTCCGACCCATAGCAACCCATGTATCGGGTTTCTGAAGAGCAACTGGTTGAGTTCAAACCCCTGACCTTGTGGCTCAAAGTGACCTTGCAGTCCAGTGTAGTAACCCACAGCACATCAGTAGTTTCGTTAGGATGCCTTAAAAATATTTTCTTCCTGTTTATATAACACGAGTGAAGAAAATCAAAAAGGCATAAAAATCATTAGTCCAAAGAACTAATGGATGGCGTAGACCTCTGCCTCCATGGTCCAGAAACCAGAACTAGATGGTGCCAAGCTACTACTACCAACCACTCTTAAAGGATCACAGAAGGTCCCAGATAAAATAGGAGACATATGTGGAAAAAACACAGAATCATTTTTATTAAAAAGGCCAGGCTTGCTGGTTAGATAAAGACTGGTAGAACCCCAGAGACTATGTCACCCTTCAGGCCTGAAACTATTGTTATCACCCCAATGGTTCAAATTTTCAACCCACACAACCAACAGGTACATAAGGTGAACAACACTAGGGAGGTACATACACCTTAAAACAATCAACAACTGGGTATCAAAAGGGTAGCATCTGCCCAAGGATAAAGTTCAGAAGGAGAGGTTAGGAAAGAAAGAGGATTAGAAACAGGAAACACAGTGGGAAGTGGGGTGAGTGATGTTACATGTGGGGATTGCAATCAATAACATGACATGGAATAGGTATGCACTGCTGAATGGAAAACTGTAAACCTTCAATGAATTCAGAATAAATGTTTTTTTCAAAAGCTATTTTGTGTGCCAGGAGAAAAAAAAAATTATTTTGCATTCAGAGCTACAATCAAATTTTAACAAAACTAAAGTAAACATCTTCCCAAAACACTGAAGCTTTTAACAAGTTTACAGGAAAACTGCCCCACATAAAACAAAGATTTTTAGATGGATTAAGTATTTTAAACAACACCAAGAAAATCTAAAAGATAAGCCAAGAGAAGAAGGAAGACTGTCAACTTTGACAAATGAACAAAACTGGGACTCAAGTCCAGAAATTCTACGGTGGAAGATGACCATAGAATTACCATTTATGAGATAACTACTGAAGTTGGGATCTCATATTGCTTGGTATTTTCAATTTTAAGTGAACATCTTGGCCTAAGCAAGCTTTTGGCTAAATGGATGCCAAAACATTGCATGACAATCGGCTAGTTCAAAGAGTTGATCTTTCCATCAGTCTTTTAAGCAATACTGAAGCTATTAGTTAGAACATACCCTAATTGGGGCCAAATCTTGGATTTATCAATATGATCCAGAGAGAAAGGTGTAACCAAAACAGTGGATTCTGAGGGGACCAGCTAGGTCATTTAAATTCAAAGCAGAATAATCAGTTAGAGAGTCATGGCAACTGTTTTTAGGACTCCAAAGGGGTAATCTTGATAGACTGACATAGGACGTTCATGGGGGTTTATTAGGAAGAAGTTTTAAGAAAATTGATAACTTCATTGGTGAGAAAAAAAGACCAAGAAAGTTGAACTGAGGAATTTTTTTTTTTTTTTTTTGCATCTTGGTAAAAATTTCCATCTTATTCATTTACTCATTCCTCAAGTAGCAAATAATGTTACATAAATTTTGTTTGGGAACCTTCCCCCATTGGCCCTTCTTCTTGTTGTTAGGCGCTGTTAAGTTGGTTCTGACTCATAGTGAGCACACGGACAACATAACAAAACACTGTCTGGTCCTGAGCCATTTTCACAATTGTTGTGTTTAAGAAAGACCATTGTTGCTGCCACTGTGTTAATCCATCTTATTTGGGGGTTCTTCTCTTTTTCACTGACCCTCCACTTTTCTAAGCATGATGTCCTTTTCCAGGGACTGGTCTCTCTTGAAAATATGTCCAAAGTATGAGAGACAAAGTCTCACCATCCTCATTTCTAAGAAGCATTCTGGCTGTACTTTTTCCAAGACAGATTTCTTTGTTCTTCTGGCAGTCTATGGTATTTTCAATATTCTTTGTCAACACCATAATTCAAATACACCAACCATGCTCTGATATTGCTCCTTTAGACTTCTTTATGCTTCCAAAACTCAAAGAACATTTCAAAGGAACAGAATGTGTGTACCTCAAGGTTGCTAAAACTGCCATTTGACGCACAATAAATCAAAGAGTGAAGAATTCTTCAGGAAAGAGTTACAGACAGCTCTATACACTTCAGAAGTGTATAGAACTAGATGGAAGATATCTGTCTTCATATTTTGATATTTTTTTTTTATTGAAGGTTTCTATAATTTTGAAGCAAATCATTTGTACTTACTATCATACATCATTAAGTCATTAAGAAGACAAGAAAGAAGGAAAAGGTCAAAATTCATGTCAGAAGAGACGCTGAAACTTGCTCTTCAGCATAGAGATGCTAAAGCAAATGGAAGAAATGAGGTCTAAGAGATGAACAGAAAATTTCAAAGATCAGCTCCAGAAGATAAAGCCAAATATTACAACAAAATGTGTTTAGATCTGGAATCAGAAAACCAAAAAGAAAGAACAAGTTTAGCATTTCTTAAGCTGGGGAAACTGAAGAAAAACTCCAAGCCTTGACTTTCACTATTGAAAGATTCTCTGGGCAAATTATTGAATGATGCAGAAAGCATCAAGAGAAGATGGATGGAATACACAGAGTCATTGTACCAAAAGGAAATGGTTAATGTTCAACCATTTCAAGAGGTACCATATGATCAAGAGCCAATGATACTGAAGGAGGAAGTCCAAAGTGCATTGAAGGAATTGGCAAAGAACAAGGCACCAGGAATTCATGGAATCAAAATTGAAATCTTGCAAGTCTTTCAAGAAAGTGAGGAGGCACTCACTCATCTCTGCAAAGAAATTTGGAAGACAATTATCTGGCCAACTGATTGGAAGAGATCCATATTTGTGCCCATTACAAAGACAGGTGACCCAACAGAATGCGGAAATCATCAGACAATCTCTTTGATATCCAATGCGAGTAAAGTTTTGTTAAAGGTAATACAGAAATGGCCACAATCATACATTGACAGAGAACTTCCAGAGGTTCAAGCCAGATTCAGAAGAGGCCGTGGAACAAGGGATATCATTGCTGATGTCCGATGGACCTTGACTGAAAGCAGAAAATATCAGAAAGATGTTTACCTGTACTTTTGATTGTATGGATCATGACAAGCTATAGACAACATTGCAAAGTATGAATATTCTGGAACACTTAATTGTGCTCATGAAGAATCTGTACCTGGACCAAGAAGCAATTGTTCAAACAGAACATGGGAACACTGAATGGTTTAAAATTAAGATTGGTGTGTGACAAGATTGTATTCTTTCACCACACTTATTCAACCTGTATGCTGAGCAATAATCCGAGAAGCTGGGTTCTATGAAAAAAATGTGGCATCAGAGTTGGAGGAAGACTCATAAACAACCTGTGATATGCAGATGATACAACCTTGCTTGCTGAAAGTTAAGACAACTTACTATAATAACTGATGAAGAGCAAAGGCCATAGCCTTCGGTATGGGTTGCATCTCAATGTAAAGAAAACAAAAATTCTCCCCACTGGACCAATAAGCAACATCCATATAAATGGAGAGAAGAATGAAGTTGTCAAAGAGTTCTTATTGCTCAGATAAACTGTCAACACTCATGGAAGCAGCAGTCAAGCAATCAAACGACATATTGCATTAGGCAAATCTGCTGCACAAGACCTATATAAAGCAATAAAGAGCAAAGATGTCAGTTTGAGGACTAAGGTGTGCCTGACCCAAGCCATGATACTTTCAATAGCCTCATATGTATGCAGAAGCTGGACAGTGAATAAGGAAGACCGCAAAAGAATTCAAGCGTTTGAGTTATGGTGTTGGAAGAGAATACTGAAAGTAAGTTCCATGCACTGCCAAAAGAATGAACAGATCTGTGTTGGAATAAGTACAGTCAAGAGTGCTCCTTGGAGGTCAGGATGGCCAGACTTCATCTTTCATACTTTGAACATATTATTGGGTGGGACCAGTTACTGGAGAAGGATATCATGTTGGGTAAGGCGGAAGGTCAGAGAAAAAGAGGAAGACCCCGCTCAGTGAGATAGATTGACACAGTAGCAGCCATGGAGTCAGGTGTAGCAACGATTGTGAGTTTATCACAGGACTGGACAGTGTTTCGTTCTGTTGTACGTAGGGTCACTATGAGTCAGTACTGATTCGATAGCACCTAACAACAACAACAACAACAATGCCTAGGATATCAATCCTTATGCAGTCCATTCCACTCATGACAACTACCAATTTTACTGAAGTCATACTTCATACATCCCACCTTCCACTTATTAATGGATGGTTCAGCTGTTGCTTTTCATTTTGAGTTGTGCTTATCAATAAATGAAGGTCCTGAAAGATCTGCTGTATGTACGTCATTAAGGCTGACAGTTGCATGATGAATGTCTTCTGACGTGAGGGGCTTATCTTCCTGCACTATATTAGACGATGTTCCCCTGCTTCATAAGGCTTTCACTGACTAATATTTCAGAAGTGGACTGTCTCTTTCTTTTTCCTAACTGGTCTGGAAGCTCCGCTGAAAGCTGTGCACCACAGGTAACCCTGATGGTATATGAAATATTGGTGGCATAGCGTCCAGCATCACAGCAACATGCAAGACACCACAGCAAGACAAATGGTTTTTGTTTAAACATATAATAAAAACTAAAAAAGAACAGCAAACTGACGAGCATTTACTTTGTAATAAGTACTACTTCGACTCTTCTAGTTAAAAGTGCTTTGCTTATTGTCAATTTACACCCAAGAACTCGGGCACCTGAGGATAACAAGCAATAAACATGGAAGCCGGAATATGAATCCAGGTAGCCTAACTCCAGAGCCTAAGTTCTGACCCATTGTTGTTGTTGTTGTTGTGAAGTGCCATTGAGTCGGTTCTGACCCATAGCAACCCTGTAGAGGGTTACCTAGGAGCAGCTGGTGGGCTTGAAACACCAACCTTGCACTTCAAATGGTTTTGCAGTCGGCACATTAACCCACAGCGCCACACCAGGACTCCTCCAACCCATTAGAGGATATTATTTCCACACACATATATAATACACAGATCCCATTCTTAATTGAAGGGCTGCTTACTTCTGCGCACTGACATGATAAGAGAGCAGGCGAAAGTTTCCATCAGGAGGGATGAAAGAGAGGATACGCTCAGATTCCCAGCGCTTGAAACGAACACAGGGATGGAAGCTGACGTCATCCAACAACCTGGGGTTCTACAGTCACCAGCAAGAAAAACCAAGAAGTAGAAATGAAACGCTCATACTTCTTTCAGGGAAGTAATTTCAGTGCTGTTTTTAGTAAACATACACACATGCACACACATTCAGCAGCTATTTATAGAAAACTCGCTCACATGCACACACACACATTCTTCAGTTATTTACAGAAAATCCAAGCCTGATAGAAACTTTGTGACTATCCTTATTTCTTCTTGTTTTATTCCATTCTTATCATGCTGTCTTTCTAGAAATATTCCAAATATTCCATTTCCCAAATCCCAAACGAAATCTCTGATCTCGGGTTTTACCATGAAGGAAAGTGTAAGGTCTGGCATTCCAGTCAGCTTGACACATGCATCAATCACCCCCTGGATCTCAGCAGTAATTGTGGAACCTGAGACAGAAAAAAGACAAAATAGATGGTAAAGAGATTATTGAGCACTTCTCTGCCCTTCCCAGTTCAATTATTTTCTCCTTCCTTCCCTCACTCGTCTTTCCTCTTTCTTCCCAACTAATTGATTTCCTTTCTTTATTCTCCCTTTCTTCCTTCCACCAATTCATTTATCTAGTCCATTCTTTTAAGCATTTATCAATGACATATCAAGTATGAGACTTCATTACAATGAAGTAATGGGGATCAAAAGACTAATGAGACAGTTTTTAACCTAAGGGAGTTTTCAATCTAGTACCAGAATCAAACAGAACATCATTTTAATCAGTGGTTCAGAAAATCTCTTCTCAGTAACTGCTCTCCCTATTGTCTGTCACCAATGAGCTATGCAGCTAAACTGAATGGAGATTTGGGGTCTTTATCCTGTAGGACTTCTTATAACATTTTCCATTGTTTACCATTCTTCCTCACCTCTCTCTAGTTTTTTCCCTCCTAGTCTCCTCCAGTATCTTCCGCGGGTTTTCTTTTTGCACCTTTCTTAAATGCCTATGCTTTTTCATAGTTCCAACTTACATTTTTGCTCTACACACTTTCCCCGGGTTGCTTTACTTGCTCCCTAACACTTCAACTTTCAATTATGGCAGTTTCTTTCCTAATCTTATTTTCTGTTTAATCTTATTCCTGCCTAATGGACATCTGTCTACACTTAGAAGTTACTGAGGCTCTTCAAACTCCACGTGCAAAGAGTGACTTCATTCCCTTACTTCCTGGGCCTTCTGTTTTCTGCAGCATCATGATATTTTCCATCCTGTTGCTTATAAGCCAGAAACACAGAAGAAACAACTACCTCTATTCCCCAAGTCTCCATGTCTGGTGAGCAATTTCTCTTTTTTATATGGAAGATCTCTCAAATCTCTCTAGTCTTCTCCATCCTCACTTCCAGACAGACTTCTATATTTTGTGCCTGGATTTTAGCAACAGCCTCCCAAAGGCTTTCTCTACCTTTGGTCTTACCTGTTTCAAGCTACTTTTCAGAATGATAGCTCTAAACTACAAGCCTAATCAAGTTACTCTTCAGCTTAAAATTCTTCAATCGTTACAACTTCCCTTCTTAAATAATATACAGGGTTCTTCATGATATGGCCATTCTAGGGTGTTTGCACTTTGTTTTACTTTTTTCACTATGTTAACCCTTACAGTAAAGAATCTCAAATGCAAGACCAGAGGTAGTTGTGGCACCTGGGAACTAAAGGAGGTGTTGCTTGCACCCCATGTGGGTTTCTTTTTAGCTCCTTTAGTGTCCACCTCCTGGTGTGGCACTGCAGGCTAATGAGCTGGACTGCAAGGTCAGTTTGAACTGTGAGGTCAGCAGTTCCAGCTCACCAGCTGCTCCTCAGAAACCCTATACAGAGTTTAGATACCGACTCGATGGCACTTTACAACAACAACTAAGTGTCCATCTCTGCTCTTGGGCCCATGGAGCTAATGCCAGATTATACACTGTTCAGCAGCACCTTCTCAGCCATCTGCCCCTCCGGGGCCATTGATGTTCCGAACAATTAGAACGTTTTTTGCTTTTGCGCAGATCGTGGGACTTCTGGCGCTGCAGGCCCAGGTGCGGGACACAGTATCACTTTGAGGAGCTTGGTGAAGTGTGAGGGGCTAGGGCTGTGCAAGTGGAGACTGTGCACCCCCTCCCTTTGAAGAACCTGGTCTTGGGGACTGCTGTCAAGAGGCCTGGGTCCTCTCTGGCAAGCAACAGACAGCTAAGGAAAACCAGCAGATAGGAAATGAAATGATACTACACCAAATCTTGCTGTGACTGACTCACTACCAGACTGATCTCCTTCTCACCTTCAGTTAATCCCACCTCCTCCGAGAATAGGTCATCTCTTGGCTCTGAAAATTTGCCACCCCCACCCTGGTTCCTGGGTGACTTTTAACAGCCAGTGACTTCACTATCTTTGGTTCCCAGTAAAGATGTTGAAGCCAGATGCTGAAGCACTGTGTGATGCTACTAGGACCCGAGGGCCTAGTAATGCAAGGTAAAACATAAGACACCTCATAACTTGATTTATAAACAAACAAAAAACAATAACATCCATTTTTCAATTAATTTAAAAACAGTATGTTGCTGTTAGGAGTCCAGTCAAAGCCTCACAATCATTGCTGTGTTTAAGTTACTGTGTCCATCCATGTCATTTTTGTTGACACTCCACTTTATCAAGCATAATGTCCTTCACCATCCTCACTTCTAAAATGCACACCTATGTGAATATCACCCACATCAAGATGAGACATCTTTGCCTCATTCCAAATCGCTGTGGGTTAATGCACTGCACTGCAAGGTCACTTTGAACTAAAGATCGGTGGTTCAAGCTCACCAGCTGCTCCTTGGAAACCCTATACAGGGTCGCTATGAGTCGGTACCAACTTGATGGCACTTAACAACAACAACAACTATAAAAGGTAACCACAGTTCTGACTCCAAATACCTTAGGTTAGAGGCCTGGTGTGATACTGTAGGATAAGTACTGGACTGCTAACAAAACAGTTGGTAGTTCAAATCTACCAGCTACTCCCTGGACACTCTGTGCAGGGTCAGTATGAGTCAGAATTGACTTGATGGTACACAGCAACAGCAACATTACCTTAGATTAAGCCATGCCTATTTTCAAACTTCAGATACATTTAATCACTGTACATATAGCATTTTAAAGGAGCTCGGGTAGCGTAGTGGTTACGAATCCAGCTGCGAACCACAAGATCAGCAGTTCGAAACTACCAGATGCTCTGTGTGAGAAAGATGAGGCTTTCTGCTCCCATAAAAATTTACAGCCTCGGAAACCCTGTGCAGGGTCGCTATGGGTCGGAACCAACTCGACGGCACTTAACAACAATAACAACATAGCATTTGGAAACTGGATTTATATTTTACTCAACATTGTGAGATTCATTCATGGTGTTGGGTTTATTTTAGTAGTCATTTCTTTTTTTATTATTGTACAGTATGCCTCTGCAGGCACATACCAACATTTATTTCTCCTTTCTATTATTGACGGATGTTTACGTTATTTCCAGTTTTTAGCCAATATAAAAAGCTGCTATGCCAACTTAGTTTGCAAGTCCCATACCTTATTTTTCTCTTTTTATGTGTTTCAGTCCAGTTATATCAAACTCCTTTATTTTCTAACAACATTTGTCTTAGAATGACTACACATACCTTCCCCTGAATCCATAGAGCTCTTAATAACTGCTATATGTTCTCCTAATGAAACATTAGCATTACCACCTCTCTGTATCTTTGTTCAGGATGCGTGTGGTACCTTTCTTATGTTCCACCTTTTCACCTGTCTCTCTCAACTAGGCTTTAGGTAAGCTTCCTGTGACCACAGATTACATCATATTCATCATCAAATGACCAATATCCAGCACTGTGCCCAGGGCACAACAAATTTTCAAAAAACATTTGTTGAATTACAAAGTTTCCTAAAATGAAGAACTTCCTAATATACTGTACTTATAGCCATTCTCACCTAATTCAGAATAGACAGAAAAGACGACTCCCTGAATTCTGTATTCCAACTTTAGTTCTGCCAGAATCAGGGGGTTGTTGTTAAGTGTTGTCAAGTCATTTCCGACTCATAACAACCCTGTTTATCGTTTCTGAGGCTTTAAATCTTTGTGGGAGCAGAAAGCCTTATCTGTCTCCTGTGGAGCAACTGGTGGGCTCAAAACTGCAGACCTGTGGTTCGCAGTCATATGGAGCCACTGCGCTCCCCAGCATCAGGGGTAGAATGCTTTTAAAAAAGAAATTTAATCAGTAAGTGACTTTTGGTATTGTTACTGCTCTTCTTCATTCAAGAGAATAGATCAATAAAGTAATAGTATAAGATAAACATTGGTCTGTTTCATACATAATATGAAAATCTATTCTCAGTGCCTAGTAGTAGACACTAAATTAAAATGAATGCTCTTGAATGGGAGACAAATCTGATACTAGTAAAGGAATCTCTCTATTTTCATAGTTCCTAGAACAGTTTGAAAGTACACACCTGATTTATCAATGATGGCGTCAATTTCTTCAATCACATCAAAATAGGCCTCATTGTTGGTATATTTCACCCCAGTCCGTCGCCAAGGCACCACTGACAGCTGCCCAGTTGGAAGTTGGTCACCCACATTGGTGCTACCTGAGAAAATTAATATTACTGCATTTTAATTCCAATTTGATACTAATAACCATAGAACATATCCCAAGAAGCCTCTGTTGTTGCTGTTGTTGTTGTTGTTGTCAGGTGCCATAGAGTCGGAACCTACTCATAACGACCCCATGCACAGCAGAACAAAACAATGTCCGATCCTGGGCCAACCTCACTACCGCTGCCACACTTGACGCCATCAATGACGCCACCTGGCTGATCCATCTCGTTGGGGGTCTTCCTCTTTTTTCTGACCCTCCATCTTACCCAGCATGACATCCTTCTCCAGCGACTGTTCCCTCCTGACAATATGTCCAAAGTATGAGCCTTTCATTACTCACTCAATTGAAGAATTTTTCAAACAGAAGATAAAAGTTTTCTTAGTTTCCATACAATGTAACCTAGTCTATTTTAAAGACCCCCTGTCACCATTTGGTCTGTATCTTCAAGCAGGAGAAAGGCTTAATAAAAAAGGTTACCTGAGAAACAGATATCATATTTTGGTTTTGAAAGTAACCTGAACTCAGTCTCTCAAATTCCACAATAGCATGCAGTTTAAATAATATATTGACTTTCATTAAGGGTGGTAATCTACATAGTGATATAAAAATTTCATGGGTAAAAATAGTTCATGGTAGATTCTTAAGTACATTTTGCTAGATATTAAAATGTATCCATCAATGTGACCTTTTCTGATGCCACGTGGAAACTTAGGAAAGTAAGACAAATTAAATCCTTCCCTGTCCTTGAGCATTGTTAGAAATTTTCTTGACTTGTTCTTCCCCACAGACACATCCAAATATTTTTAAAATTAGGTGCTGGTCTGCTAACTTCAAGGTTGGTGGTTCAAACTCACTGGCCACTCCTCAGGAGAAAGATGAAATTGTCTGCTTCTGTTAATGTTTATAGTTTCTAAACCCTATATAGGGTCTCTGTGAGTCCAAATCAACTCAATGGTCGTGAGTCTGGGTTTTAGTTTATACTGAAATTCTGAAATATTATACTAAATTTAAATTCAAATCCCATTTTCCATTTCCTGGATATTTTTACTGTCAAGGAAGAAAGAAATACTAAGAAGAGTCAAGAGGGCAGCTTAGTCAGACCCATCATGCTGTCCCTCTATAACAAAGCTCTAGAAAATGAAGTGAAGCAGATGCTGATGGCAATCCTAGAACTCTGAACATCAAGAGCAAGAATAAAAAATTCAATAAAACACCAACTGGAAGGAGAAACTGGACCAATGTCACAAATGAAGAGAGACAAGAAGCAGGGGAACTCTGTCAACTATCCCGGCTCAGCGTGGCCATCTTGAGTTGAGCCCATAACAATGCTGGAGGTGAAACATAGACAATTTTACAGCATCGCCAATAAAAAATAGTACCTGAGCAGACACACCGAAGGAAGAACACACCGAGGTGAGTGGAACTTGATCCAGATCTAATGCAGGGAAGCACAGGAAGGAGGGCAAGAGCTCTACGGATCCTGGCACTCACAGAATAGGGAGGAAGTAAGGACTGCCCTGACCATTCGGGTGGGTGACATGCATGAGTTAAAAGATTCCCTACAAGACCAAACTCCTCACACTATAGCAGGCCCAGGTCCCAACTGTTGACTGCAGCCAATGGGAAGTGCTGAGACAACCTCACCTGGTGACTTTAGGGGCACACTCTATATCCCTGGAGATTCCTGATGACTAGAGGCATGCTCCCCCTATTCCTGCAGCTCTGGCCACGATGGACTACAGTTGGAGCCCCCTTTTATCTCCTCATACCCTGTCCCATCTGAAGTGTCCCTGCCCCTCCAAACAGTATGGGACAGCTCTAGCAATTCTCCCTGTCCTGAAAGTGCCATGGACTGCCAAAAGAACCAATAGATCTGTTTTGGAAGAAGTGCAACCAGAGTGCTCCTTGGAGGCCAAGATGGCTAGGCTTCGTCTCTCCTACTTTGGAAAATTGGGAACACAGTGGCTCCATAAGATAAGCAACTCACCAAAAGGAAGAAGAAAACTAAAAAGATTCAGTAAACACAAAATTAACAAAATGAAGGAGATGAAGGGGCAATCCATAAATAAAAAGAACTCAGCACAGAGAATTAAGCAGAACAAAGAAAATATCAAAACACACACACTCAGAGCATAACAAAATGACAGCCATAAATTCCTATCTAATTATAATCACATTAAACATAAATGGTTTAAATGCACCAGCCAAGGAACAGAGAGTGGCAGAATAGACAAAAAAAAGAAAACTCTACCTAACGATATGTTGCCTACAAGACACATATCTTGGACACAAAGACATAAATATGTTAAATATTACAGGATGTAAGAAATATAGCAAGCAAACAGTATCCCAAAAAGAGAAGTGGCAATATTAATCTTTGAAAAAATAAACTTTAAATCAAACTCCATTGTAAAATACAAGGAAATAACTATATAATGATTAAGGGATCAATCTACCAAAAGGATACAACCATAATAAATATTTATGTGGTGACAGAGCTCAAAAACACATAAATTCTAACAAAATTGAAGAGAAAAATAGTTTTACAATAGCAATAAGAAACTTTAACACCTCACTTTCAAAAATGGAAAGAACTGTAAAGAAACTCAACGAAGATACAGAAAATCTAAAGAGCACAACAAATTTGACCTCATTGACATATACACAACACTCCATCCAAAGCAATACAGATTCAATCTTTTCTAAAATATATGGATCGTTTTCCAGAACAGACCATATCTTAGTCCATATATATAGAGGAGCATATATAGGGTTGATAAAGGGAGCCCTGGTAGCATAATTGGCTACACACTGGGCTGCTAACTGCAAGGTAAGAGGTTCAAATCCACTAGTTGCTTCGTGGGAGAAAGATGAGGCTTTCTGCTCCCGTAACAATTTATAGCCTCAGAAACCCTATACAGGGTCGCTGTGAGTCAGAACTGACTCGACAGCACACAGCAGCAGCAGCAGTGGATATTTCTACATGTATATTTCTACATGCTACAAGTATATTCATGTATGTTATAGGGCACACGGGACCACAATCAGGAAAACCTTAGTCAAAACCAAACACTTCCTGAAATGAGACACTGGGCTCGACCTGGGTCAGCTGGCATAACAGCTCATAAAGTTACAGTTTTACATCTTACTTTGGTAAGCAGTGTCTAGGGTTATACAAGCTTGCAAGTGGCTATCTAAATTACAACTACTGATTTCTTTCTATCAGGAGCAAAGAAGAGTGGAAGAAACCCAAAGACTTAAGGAAACAAGTTGTCCTAAGTGCTAACAGACAACATGAACCTCAACCTCCACTAGCCTGAGACCAAAGAACTAGCTGGTTGCCTGACTACCACCATTGACTGTTCTGAGCAGGATCACAATAGATGGTACTGGATCAAGTTGAGATAAAGACAAAACAAAATCTAAAATTCACAAAATAATCTAGACTTACTGTTCTGATCAACAATGGACTTCAAGTCACAAGGTCGACAGTTCAAGCCACCAGCAGCTCCTCGGAAATCCTAAACAGGGTCACTATGAGTCAGAACCGAAGGTACTCAACAGCTGTTTTGAAAGAGCTGGTGGAACTTCAATACTATTATCCTTTGACATCATTCTAACTTGAAAATGAGCCACTCCCAGAGATCATCTTTCAGCCACATAAAAGACAAGTCAATAAAGTGACTAGTAACACCCTGGAGGAATACCCATTTACCTAAAAACTAAATAAAGATGGCAAGAAGGTGCAGGAAAATTGGGCAATTGAAAACAGGGAACCTAAGGTGGGAGTCCTTGTATGGCGCTGTAGGATAAGCACTGGGTTGCTAACCATAAGGTTGATAGTTCAAACCAAGCAGCTGACCCTTGGAAATCCTACACAGGGTCGCTATGAGTCGGAAGAGATTCAAAAGCACTTATCAACAACAACAAGGTGGAAATAAGGAGAAAACTGACCTTTTGTGGGGATTGCAACCAAGGTCACAGAACAATCTGTGTATAAATTCCTGGATGGGAAAATAATTTGTTCTGTAAACTTTCACCTAAATCACAATATTAAAAAGAAAGAAAGAAAGCAATAAAACACACACACACATATTCACTATAGTACTTCCCAGCTACCTTTTACTGGACTGAAATTAGATACAAGTTCAAATGACTTCAAAATATTCATAAATAATTCAGGCACTAACAAAGCATTCAAGGCTTAAAGCTGAGCAAAGAATATTTTAAAACCCACCAAATTAATTATCACCAAGCTATAATAATTAAAGCAGCATCTTCACAGTGCAGGAAAACCTACAGACCAAAAATTCTGATGACTTAGTACAAGATAAAATGTCATTTAAAATAAGGGAACAGAAATTAGTCAATATTCGTAATGAGAAATCTAAATGACAATTTTAGAGAAAAAGACAGAGAGCCTTACCTTTTATTGTATACCAAGACAATTTCCAGACAAATTAAACATTTAGATCCCAGACAAAACCATAAATGAACTAGATGAAAATACACTTTTTTTTAAAAGAAGGCTTTTCTTTCTCAAGAAGAAAAAAGACATTCTCCTACTCTTTTCTTTGAATAAATGCAAAGTTTGAGTTTAAATCCTTAATCCAATTGGAATTTATTCAATGTATGGTAAGAAGTAGGGGACCTAAACTTAATTTTTTTTTTCCATATTGAAGGTAATTCTTCCAATACATTTAACAATTGGCCCCTTATTTGACATATAACCATATTTATCATATGCCAAATTCCTATGAAAGCAAGGCTCTGGTTCTGGGTTTTCTATTTTATCTCAGTGACCTATTTGTCTCTTCCTAGGCCAATACTACACTTTAAAAATTACTAAAACTTCATAATACATTTGTATCTGTAGGCACATTTTCTCTGTTGCTCTTCTTTGAAATTTTATTCATTTTCAACATTGTCTCAGTTCTAATAACACACCTAATGTAAGAATTTACTTTTGTCTCCTCTACTATAACAACTTAGTATGCCTTTATAGTTAACAAGACACATTCTTCCCACCCTTTTATAATTATTTTCCAAAATTGTCCTGCTATTCTTGAGTATTTAAGAAGGCATGGTGGTACAGTAGTTAAGCACTTGGCTGCTAACCAAAAGGTTTCCAGCTTGAGTTCACCACTGCTCTATGTAAGGGGCTCTGGTAGCGTAGTGGTTACGAATCGAGCTGCTAACCTCAGGGTCAACAGTTCGAAACTACCAGCTGTTCCGTGGGAGAAAGATGAGGCGTTCTGCTCCCGTAAAGATTTACAGCCTCGGAAACCCTGTACAGGGTCTCTATGAGTCGGAACCGACTCCACGGCACATAATAACAACAACTGTGGGAGAAAGCTGTGGCAGTCTGTTTGTGTAAAGATTTACAGCCTATAAACTGTATGGGGCAGTTATACTCTATCTTATATAGGGGTGTTATACAGAGCGCTGGTAGTGTAGTGGTTATGAATTGGGCTGCTAACCTCAAGGTCAGCAGTTCAAAACTACCAGCGGTTATGCGGGAGAAAGATGAGGCTTTCTGCTCCCGTAAAGATTCACAGTCTCGGAAACTCTATTCAGGGTCGCTATGGGTCAGAACTGACTCCACGGCACATAACAACTACCATCATAGGACTGCTATTAGTCAAAGTCAACTTGACGGCTTTTAAAAAATACTTTTAATTTATTTTTTAATCAGTTTTTCAAGTTCCATAAAAATTCTTATTGATGTATACAGCAAGACCTAAAGATGTAAAAACTTTAATGGAATTAAATGAATTTGACCCCCAAAAAAGGTTAAAATATGACTAGCTACTATGAATAATGTTAAATGACAAGTGATAGATGTGAAAAATATCTGTTAACAAAAATAGTATTTAAAATATGTTTTTTATTTGAAGATTCAAAGCCAATAAAGTACTCCTATAAGCTGTCACCAATATTTCCAATATACATGATAGTTTAATATACTTAAATGAAAAAAATTATTTTAAATCAGTGTGAAACAGAAAAGTGTCTCAAAAGAAAGATGGGCAAAGGACAAAAAATATAATTTGCAAGAGAGAAAAACAGTTAATGACAGGTTTTAACTTCTTAGTAATAAAGCATGAGTGTGAAGATAACAAGGTATCTTATCAAATTGTCAAAGTTAAAGCCATTGAAATCTATCAAATTGTCAAAGTTAAAGCCATTGAAATAGTAATAGCGTTGGCTCCTGTACACAGGAATTATAGCTTGGTATAGAAGTAGAGCTTGGTAAGCTTTTTGAGAGAGTAATTTGTCATACCCTTTGAACCAGCACCTCCATTTCTAGAAAGGTACTGAAAGGAAATCACCTAGATGTGATTACAAATATATAAGTAAGAGAATGTTGATCCCTTGTTACTTAAAAAGAATAAAAGATCAGAAATATCATAAACAAGGGCTGAATAAATAATTTAGTCTAGTCCACATGGTAGAAAAACTAAGAGTCATTAAAAATGGTGAGGAGTAATTATTATTATGGGGTAATACTGACAAAGGAGTACTGGTAGTATAGTGGGTTACAAACTGGGCAGCTAACTGCAAGGTCAGTAGTTCAAATCTACCAGCCGCTCCTTAGGAAGAACATGAGGTTTTTTGCTTCCATAAAAACTTATAGCCTTGGAGACCAATCTAGGGTCACTGTGAGTTGGAATAAACTCCACAGCACATAACCACCACCTACCACCACTGTTCACAAAATATTGATAAAAGGTTAAAATAGTAGGCAGTATGGTTTTAAAAAATCGTATCTATCCATCATTCATCCATTTGTAAAATCATATATTTCTTCTGTAACAGAAAAAAATCACAACTTATTTTTATAAGAGAACACTTCATTCTGTCACTTAAAAAAACAAGAGCTCATTTTTACAGGAGGGTATTTTCTCCATAACAAAATATTTCAGGTCACACTGAAAACACAAAATTTTAAAACCTAATCATTTGAGAGTCATAAAAACATGCATTCAAAACAATGCACAATATCAGACTAAGCTATCCATCAGACTAAGCCAAACCTAGGATGGCATCAACAGGGGCAGCAGCTTTCCATTCGTTTCCCCCTTCTCCATACCTGTTATGGTGTTGACAACTGTCCGAAGGATAGTGGGAGGCTTGATCAGTTCTTTGAGGATGTTCGACTCGGTGGCCAATGGAAATCCATTGTCAAGCATCTCTTCTAACACCTCATACACCACAACAACATTATCTTTGATTACTGGTTCTGAGCAGACTCCAAAATAATCCTGATGAAGATAAAATATATGTATTTATCACTCTGAGATTGTAAGTGAAAGAATGTTCCTAGAGGTTAAGGATCTGGTCCTACAAGTTTTCATTTCATTTTTTCTCTTCTAAGGGCTAAACTCCCAAGATCCTTCCACTGTTCATGCTACGGTGTGGTTTCCAGATAGTTGTGCTACATTATACTTTCTTCAATAGGCTTAGTCTTTTCAATATTCTCCTTGAATTATGACATGTGAAATTGAACAAACACTCCAAATGTGATCTAAATTACATCCTATAATGTCAATGATCAGAAGGATTCTAGTACCCTAAAGAATGCACTGAGAAGTCAGGAGTATGTTTCTAAAATAAAAAATATTCCCTACAAAAAAAATATCACACGTTTCCTTCCCAAGAGTGTGTTTACTTTTAAAAAATAAACAAAACATCTCACTTGATTTTGTAAATCAGGCCTAATGTGTACTGAGTGATGGAAATACAAGTATGATAAAGTACTACAGCAAATTTGCTATCAATTCTATAGCTGGAACTCTTCTGTCATACTCTAGTACTAGAAAAATAGTGTTGCCAGAGAGGGCATCTATCAGAGAAGATATTAAAATCATTTACTTTTAACAAATGCCTCCAAGATGACAAGCTCTAAAGTCTCAGACTTCCATAACAGCAACTTTACACTGTTTTCCCAAATTCCTCTGTGGCTTCAACTAAACATATTTTCTCACACTTCCTCTCTTGTAATAAGTTACATAATATTTCTGTGGTGAAATAAGGCAGCTGTTACCCTTCACCAAAGGGACTGTTAATCTTAGAATGGGGTAAAATATCACCTGTGGAAATCATAAGGCGGCACAATTAGGACATTTAAGATCACAACTAGGATCTCTATTTCTAGTTAATTACAGGAATTTTTATTTTACATCTTAGATTTTCAATGTGGGAAGTGGCTAGGATGCTGCATGGGTATGGGACTTTCAGAATGATAGTACTGCTAGAGAGCAATTATGGGAAAAATGTACAAACTATGTTTTGGTTCACGTCAGATGAGAGTCACTCCAGACATGTGATGAGTGCAAATGAAAGGACTCTTTGATTTGATTTTTAATTTTTATTGTAATATCTGGATTCTCATTTACTTCTTGTCCACCTCCATAATTTCTGTACTCATGATTTCACATGACACAAAAGTTAAACCAAAGGGCCCCCATTTCTTTTTCACCATTTGAGTTATGCAAATAACCACAACAGTTAGAAGCTGAGTACAAGTATGCTCTACATAACATCTGCCACTGCAACCGTGTGCATATACGTATGTCTGTGAGGCTTGCTTGGTAGGGCACCAGGACGTGGGGAGTTGTTGAGCATGCACCTATTGCTACTGTCATGGCTTAGCTGCAGCCCCAGAGCAGTGGCTGCCACTGCTGCCTCATGCCCTGTCCAGCCACCCTGAAGGTCAGTACCTGTGATGAAACACCGGGCTGCAGCCACTTTGTTCTATCCCTCAGGCCTTCTGACCCTTATCAGGCTCCCAGGGCTATGTCACAGGAAGCCCTGGTGGCACAGCAGTTAAACGCTCAGATATTAACTGAAGGTTTGAACCCACCAACTGCTCTGAAGGAGAAAGATGTGGCAGCCTGCTTCTGGAAAGAAAATAGCCTTGGAGACCCTCTAGGGCAGTTCTATTCTTTCCTACAGGGTCATTATGGGTCAGAATTAACTCAATGGCAGCTGATTTTTGGTTTTAAAATGTGCCATTGAAATTCTCAGGGTACAGATTTCCCAGGCTCATGTTTATAACTGGAGCTTATCATTAGCACTCACATGCTATGGATAAGCACTCAAAACCCAAGATGAAGTATGGACAGTTAAAACAAGCATTGCTTAAGTTTTCTTTTCTTTTTCCTTTATAAAGTTTTCCATGTTTACCACTTACTGATACAGCTCAAAGTAAAGTCGTTACAATGGTTAGCACCAAATCTATTATTAAAAAAAAAAAAGAAAGAAAGAAACTTCTCTTGATTTAGAAACCAAAAAGTGAGACAACTCCTATCTCCAAAATAAAAAGACTACACAACACAATCACACCACGTAAGGTGATTTTCTCATACACTAGGTTCAAAAGCATTCAACTTGTCATTTTAGATTCAGCCAATTCGGTAAACAGGAACAAGAATGTTATCTATCAGATGGCAGAGGAAGTGAGTGATGTCAGAGTTGTGTATGTATGTGTGTGTGTGTGTCTTTTAAAAGTTTCTTAATTGAAGCTGAAGACAATGGACACAGAACTATAAAGACACGTTATAGTTTACATAGATGAACCTCCTCTGCTTCACGCACCTGAAATGTGTCCACAACTCGATGAAGAAACTCAATGACAAATAGAGGTGGGACCTCTGTCTGGATCACAGCCACAAAGAAGATCTTGTGGCGGTATACACTTAAAAGATAATGGTGAGGGGTAGGGATAACCGGAGGTACATTTTCGGCCTCCGTAGCTCTCTCTTGAGCCTCAAAAAAATAATCACAAACAGAACGGCTGACCACACTTTTCCAGTGTTTCTCCAGGAAAATATCCCCAGAAGAGTTGATCAAGAAAAGGCTATGAATCATGGTGGAGAATTATCAATGAAGGAGGAAAGCGTTTTCCAGTCTGAAAGCTTCACGACTCTGCAAGAATTCAATCCTAAAAACAAAGGAAGCTAAGTTCAGTTTCATTCAACCAAAACACCCTCCCCATCTTTTCCAGCAGTTTGGTCATAACCATCTTTCAAGACTAGGCTCATCTTTCCCTATTGTACTTGCCTGAAGTATCTCCTCCTTGTATTCTTAGAATTTTTAGTCATCTGAATTATGGCCACGAAAATATTACTTGGACTCCTGGTGTGGCACTGTAGGATCAGCACAGGACTTCGAACCACATGGTCAGCTGTTTAAACCCACCAGCTGCTCATCGGAACTAATTTAAAGGCACTTAGCAACAACAAACTATTATTTAATCATTTAGATGTTTGTTTTCTCCTCAACCAGACTGGAAGCTCCCTGTGGAAAAGGACTATGACTCATAATTTTTATAGTCACACTGTACAGTGCCTCCTTGCATGCAAGAGGACTTCTAAGCATATTGGTGAATTTGATTTCATGTATTTGGCCTTAACTCGCACATTATGGTTGTGCAATTCAAAACAGCCACAAGACACTTGGGGCCACTCAGCAGTCCAACTGAAAATGTGTTGTAAGTATAAACAGATACTTCAGACTTTGACCCCAAATTTTTTTGAAAGAATTGAAAATATCTCACTGATACTTTAATACTGATTACAAGTCGTCATAATATTTCAGATACGCCAGGCTAAATAAGATATATTCAGCCTGTGTGTTTTAATATGGTTACTAGAAAATTTATAATTATATATGTCGTTTGCTTTAAGATGCACTTTTTATTTACAGAAATCGGTCATTGCGGGCTTTATTCATTGAGTCAGATCCCATTCTCTGGCACTTATGCACATGGCTTCGTGCTGGATGTTTTTTTAAAAACCCACCCCTCAAGCAGACGCAGTTCTACAGTGCCAGTCCCTGCAAGGGGGCAGTCGCACAGGGCCCTAGCTGGGACCATTCTGCAAACTGATCAAACCATAAAGGCCTGTAGTACCAAGTGTAGCAGGGCGAGCTTGATCCCTTTGCTGGTAGCGGAGACGATGGGAGGAAGGAAAAGCAGAGCAGAGGCAGATGCCCCAGTGGTTTACCTCTGCGATGGTCCCATTTTAGCTGCCAGAGAACCAGGGACGATGGAGGCCATCTGGGACTCGGGTGGGCTGGAGGAGGGTTCAATGTACGTTCGTGGGGGAAAAGGGTCGAAGCGCCGAGACCAGGGTAGTTTGAGCAAATGTGTTGCCATGGCAACAGTGTCCTCTCTCACACACACTCTCTCTGTCTCTGTCTCTGTCTCTCACTCCAGCCCTGGGCCAAATCTCGGAACCCGTTACTCCGTTTCTCACCTCTCCGCCGCAACATGCAGCACATCAAGCCGCTCGGAGGGTCGGTCTGGCTGCATCCCGTGACCTTGTCCCGCCCCGCACGCCCTAGCTCAGGCCCCCGCCCGAGACCCCGCGCGCCCCCTCAACACCCGCCTCCGGCCGCCTGGGAACGCGCAGCAGCCATCCCCGCCCTGGCCAGGGTCGTCAGCCCCTCACCTGGCTTTGCTCCTCACAGCGCCGACAGCTCAGCTGCACGGACAGGCTCCGCCCAACCCTAGTGCCCTGCTCCCTCCAAGCAACGACCGCCGCCCGTCGGTAGATTGGCTGGCCCGCGGGCCTGGCGCCCACATCGCCCACACCCGTGGCCTGACAGGTCTGTGATTGGACGTAGGTAGTCAGTTCCTCCTCTCTGATTGATTGCTGACCGCGACTCACCCTGTTCTGGAGCTCGAGCCCCTAATTGGCCCATGTTGAGGACACTCTGATCTCTGATTGGTGCAATTCTGTAGCTCCGAGTCCTGATTGGCGGCCGACAACCATCTGCAGGCCGCCCTGGCACTTATTTACCCAGTCACAAAGGCCTGGGTACTCTCGCCTGCCACCTGTATAACAGCTGCCTTGAGGGGTCCAAAAAGTATGATTGTGCATGGGGGTAGGGAAGGTGGGTTTTCCATTGCAGATTTATTAAGTAGTCCATTATGAGCAGGAATAACAACCTGACATTAGATAAACCAAACCAAACTACTGCCATAGAGTGATTCAGACTCATAGCAACCATGTCTAGGATTTAAAGACGAAATCTTTACGGAAGCAGCTGTTGGTGAGTTTGAACTGCTGATCTTGCGGTTAGCAGTCCAATGCTTATGCTACAGAGCCATCGGGACTCCATTCTATTAGCTTGTTGTTGTTGGCAAATACTGTAAAGTCGGTTTCGACTAATGGCAGCCCTGTATAAGGCTTCCTAGACTGCTTATCCTACAGTACCACACCAGGACTTCTTCTGTGCGATAAGTCCATTTTAAAATGGCTTTTATTTTGTGTGCTGGGCATTGCGTGAAATACAGGTGTTGGTTGGCTCTATAGTAATTTTTTTTTTTAATTTTTAAAGGTTTTTATTGTGGATTGAGTGAAAGTTTACAGGGCAGACCATTAGTTTTACATTTAACAAATCATACACCTTGTTTCATTACAATGATTATAATCCCCTCAATATACCATCAGTTAACAGTATTTCTATTCAGTTTAGCTTTATTTTTCAGCACTCAGGCATGTATAGCAATTTATACCACCAAAGGGCACATTCTGCAAGTCTGCCTCCTGACCACCAGCTCTTAGTCCCTCTCTTCCTATGAATCTAGAGAGTCCTCAGCTGCTCCCCCTCTCTGTGTCCCGATCTCTGCCTCCATCTCTGGCATCACTGCTTCTCTGGATAAGGTTTTACACTCCAGTTGTGCTCTTCTCCCTTGATGGTCCTAGGATTCTGTTTCTGGACTGTAACATTAACTACTCCTCTGTTTTTATTACAAAACTTATACCTTTAGAATTGTGACACTCGCAATTAGTCATAATAACGATTGTATACTATTGAATCATAAGAATCTTATCCCCATCTCTTTTCACCAGACCCATCTAGACAAGATGTAAACTATTCAGTGGCAACTCTTTCTTTCCCCACACACTATTGAACTAAACTCCCCCTTGAAACCTTGTAAAGCAGTCACTTTTTGCCTTTATCGCCCCCTCATTATACTTAGCCAATGTCTAAGTTGCCCATCCCTATCTGCCCTGTGTACAAAGGGGATAGCGTTGATACTTGATGTGAAGACTCCTTCCCTCTCTGTTGATATTTAGAGTTACTACCTCCATGACTATCAAGGCTAGGTCAAGTGGGTGCTATCTGCAACTTTGGGTGTTTTGGGACTGTATAGTATCTTGTGAAGAGCTCTGGACCAGAACTCAGGATACCTCTCTCTACCCCCAGCCCCCTTAGACTCTCACTTGCTTGACCTTGGGCCAGGCACTTCACCTATCATAATCTCCATCCCCACATCATAAAATGAAGGGATTGGACCAGTTTCTCTCCAAACTGCCTTAAACTCTAATGACTACAGCACTACTATTTTTGGTATTAATAGTTCAAGCCATTGTGATCCAGAAACTATGTAGACGAATGAAATAAGAGGATAAAGTTCAACTTTTGTTTATCCAAAACTAGGTAATACATGAGATGAGATGTGGAAAGTGTGTGGCCCATTGCTTGGAACATTGTAAGTGCTCAATAAAATGATAAGTTGTGTTGATGATGGTAATGATGTCCACCTAGAAGAAAATATAACCTTCTCTGGGCTTTTTCCATTCTGGTAATATGAAGCAACATTGGCAGTTCCTTCATACACAGGACCATGATGTATGTTTGTTGAAAGTAGTCTGACCATAGTCTCAGGGGTCAGCTTAGTCAATTGGCATAACATAGGTTATAAAGATAATATTTTCCATCCTGGTTTGGTGAGTAGCATCTTGGGTTTTAAAAGCTTGCAAACAGCCATCTGAGGTACTATTGGCCTCTACTCATATGGGGCAAAAGAGAAAGAAGGAAACCAAAGTCTCAAAGAAGAAACTTTGTTCACAAGACTGATAGCCCACACAAACCACAGTCTCTTAGATTGAGATCAGAAGAACTAGATGGTGCCTAGCTACACTACTGATCATTCTGACCAGGGATAAACTAGAAGGTCTCAGATAAAATAGGAGAAAAATATAGAACAAAATCTATATTCCTAAACAATGGTGAAACCTATTGGAGCAAAAGAGACTAGAAGAACCCCTAAGACTATCACCCTGAGGTACCCCTTTAACTTGTAATTGATATCTATAGAGGTCACCTTTCAGCCAAATAATAGATTGACTTATAAACTAAAGCATCCGCCTTGAATAACTGGCCAAATGGTTGCCATTTACACAAGAGCAATGAGAAGGCAAGGAGGGGAAGGGCAGCTGGACCAATAGAAACAGAAAAAACAGAATGGAAATAATGAGAATGCTAACTGTGAAAATTATCATCAAAGTCACATAAAAATTTTGTATAAAAATTGTTAAAGGGGAACCTAATTTGTTGTGTGAGCTTTCACCTAAAACACATACATACAATTTTTAAGTGGTCTGAAGTGTTCCTTGCCTTACTTCCTAAAGGCAGATGTGCCAGTTTTGAACTAAACAAAGAAGCAAATCCAAAAGCAAAATGACAGAATGCATGACATCATATAAGCTTAGGGACTTTGATACCAGACTGCTTCAGTTTGAATACTGCTACAATAATTTATCAGTTGTGAACTTGAGAAAATATCTTAACTTCCCTAAACCTCAATTTCCTCATTTCTCAAATAAGGACACCAGTATTACTTGATAAGGCATTGTGAGGATGGATTGAGTTAGGTAAATATTGTTAAGTTCCATCAAGTAGGTGCTGACATATCGTGACCTATGTAAAACAAAACAAAAGGTTGGCCAGTTCTGTACCATCCTCATAATAGTTTGTATCTTTGATCCCAGCTTTGCAGCCACTGTGTCAAGCTATCTTTTTTGCTGGCCTTCTACTTTAGCAAGAATGATGACTTTCTCCAGATATTGATTCCTCCTAATAACGTGTCCAAAGCTAGTAAGATGATGTTTCACCATTCTCATTTCTAAGGAGTATTCTGGCTGTAGTTCTTCCTGGATAGATTTGTTTGTTGGTTTGACAGTCAATGATATATTCCATATTTTCCACCCAACCATAATTCAAAATTATCAGTTCATCTTCAGTCTTCCGTTTTCATTGTCCAGCTTTCACTTGCATATGTTGTTGTTGTTGTTAAGTGCCTTCAAGTCAGTTCTGACTCATAGCAACCCTTTATAGGGTTTCTGAGGAGCAGATGGTAAATTTGAACCACCAACTTTACAGTTCAAACTGACCTTGTGGTCTAGTACATTATCCCACAGCAACTGAAAATACAGTGGCTTAAGTCAGGCATGCACCTTAGTCATACTAGTGATATCTTTGCTTTTTAAATTTTTAAAAAGGTCTTTTGCAGCAGATTTGCCCAATGCAATACAGAATTTGATTTCATGAATGCTGTTTCCGTAGATGCTGATTGTGGATCCAAGTAAAATGAAATCCTTGACAAGTTCAATATGTCCTTCATTTATTCATGATGTTGCATGTTGGTCCAGCTGTGATCATTTTTGTTTGCATTATGTTGAGATACAATCTACACTGAGGACTGCCATCTTGAATCTTCAACAGTAAGTCATATGCATATCTCAGGTTGTTAATGAGTCTTCTTGGATTACTTACTCAGCATATACTGACTGAACAAATACAGTAAAGGGGTACAACCCCGCTTCGCACTTTTCCCAATTTTAAGATACATGATATTCTCCTTGTTCTGTTCAAGTGACTGCCTCTTGACAGTGAGTGTTAGCTATTGTTATTACCTAAAAAGGAGCACAAAATACAAGTACCCATGCTTACTAAGCAATGTGTGTCGAAGAAGCAGAAATGCAATCACTGCTTTGTACATATCCATTCATTGAATAAATGCTTACTGAGGGCCTCCCATAACTTAAGTCGCGTGCTGCAATGATTACCACAGTCCCTATAGTTAACAGAGTCTAGCTTGGAAGACAAATAAGAAACAGGTAATCACAATACAATGTGATGAATAAGGAGCAGATATGGGGAGGTGAACGATGTGTGTCCCTAACCTAGAATCATGGAAGTCCTACCTGAGAAGTCACTTCTAAACCCAAACCTGGAAGATGAGTAGAAATTAATCAAATGAAGGTGTTTCAGGCAGAGAGAAGAGTACAGGTGGAAAGCCCTGGAAACAAGAGAGTTACATGTAGCTGAGTCAGAATGAGAGACAGTGCAGGGAGATGAGGTTGGGAAGATCAGATGGTTGTGAGCACTATAATGGTTTATAAAATACTTACTGTGCGTCATGCTTACCGTCCTTTGTCTCACAAATATTTAATGAACTCTCTCATGTGCCAGGTATGGTCCCAGGGCTCATATACAAAATATCAGTGAACATAACAGATAAAAATCTGTTTAGTGGAGGGCTCAGTGGAGGAGTACTGACAATAATCAATAAATCACTGTAGTGGTTACGAATCGGGCTGCGAACCGCAAGGCCAGCAGTTCGAAACTACCAGCTGTTACATGGGATAAAGATGAGGCATTCTGCTCCCGTAAAGATGTATAGCCTCAGAAACTCTGTT